CTTTCAGAAGGTGACCCGAACGGAAAAAAACAAAACAAACAAAAAAAAAATCAAGAATAAGTAAAGAGAGAGAATCCAGCAAAGAAGAATAATGGCAGCGCCGATCATGTCCTAAAGACTTTTTCCTTTTCTTCTTGGGCGAGTGAACTCGGTGGTCCTGAAGTAGTAGGTTTTCTTCCCGCCTATTGACGCCTTTCACAATGCCGGGTATTTACGTCAAAAAAAAATAGTGTTGAGTTGGTTTCGTTATGGCAAAGGGAGACTGTTATGTCCAAATGTCTCGGGATTTCTTTTTGCGATGCAGAAAGGAATTTTGCCAGGTATGAGGGGTTGGAAGGTGGGGGCAAAAGCAAAGTAAAGAGTATAAAGGAGGTATGTGTGGTGAAAGTGGTGGAGAAATCGCGGGGATTGGGGGGGGGTGGTTAAATGAACAACAGGGATTGGGATTATAAGACATAGAGCAAAAGAAAGGTGACGCCCCGAGTTCCTGTCAGGAATTGTCCCCGTTGGCTTCGCTTTTGATATCGGGCTCACCAAATGCATCATCTGCAGCGGCCATGTCCGGTGTTAATCCGTTCTTGAGCTTGCTGCTGGGAGGGGCGGGCTTCTTCCCCGCCAGCTTCTTGGGAGCACCGAGTTTCTTCTTCTTGTTCATGGTCGGCGGGCCATCGTCGTCGATCAGGGGGCGTTTGGGCGGAGCGGAGGCGGGCGTGCTGCTGCCGTTGCTGTTGTTCTCCAAGGGGGTTTTGTTGCGGCCACCCAGTGGTCGGCCGGAGATGCCCAAGCAGCGGTCCAGATGCTGCGCCACGCGGGTCACGACAAAGTATCTTGGGCAGTTCGGACACTTCACCGTTGGGAACGATATTCTTTCCGGTACAGCCTGCTTGAAGGAGCCGTCGGGGGTGGTGGGTGGGCTCGACCCAGGGGTATTTGAGGTGGTGACTTGCTTCTTCTTCTGAGGTTTTACCTTGTCCGTCACGAATGGGTTCCCGTTGACGTCGTGGCCAGGTTTGCTGATCGTCGGCTGCTTCTGGCAGTACTCGCGGTACGGGTCGGGAGGGGCACGAGCCCCGACGCCTGTCACAGGGTACAAGAGGCGCGGCAGCCGGCAATCAGGACAAATGATATCCTTGGTGGTTTGTAGAGGGTTGCCCTTTAAGTAGACCTTGCCCTCGTCGAAGATGGCCCCGTCGGTTTCCACGCGAATGTCCTTGAGTTCCTCGAAATCGAGATCGCCAGGCTTGAACGCGCTGGCCGGTTTTCCGCTTTCTTCGCGACGCCTGGTCGCCTCCTCATCTGCCTTCTGTCGCGCAGCAACGACCGCGGAACGCATGCGGGAAACCTTCTCATCGCGGTGTACTTTGGCGACTATGTCATGGATGATGTTGTAGAATGTGTCATTAAGGATTTCGCAGGTCTGCACTGTATTAGCACTGTGTAGAATGGGGCGCAACTAGTGGACGATAGATCTGCGCGAATAAAGCGTGGTTTATCGTGCTTGAGGTGCTTACTAGTTTCGCTATCGTCCCTGGAGGGAAAGAGGATGCCCGTTCCTCAGCCCCGTTTGACTCGCCCATCGTTGTAATTTGTGTGTTCTGAAGTGCCGATCGTTAGAAACAGCATAGCCTCAAAGAGTGAACTACATGAGAGAAGAACACGAAAACAATAGCAGCGGCGACCGTCAAAAGTGCGCCGGTCGATATTAACGTCTCTCGCAAGCAAATTGCTTGTGAAAATAAGAACGTTCCCATAACGCTCTGTCAAGGGTGACCGTCATGCGAAAGCCACAGTCCGAACGTACCTTGATACCAACGTATCCTACTCCAATTTGTGCGGTTGGCTCTCCCTAAAGGTCGGCCAGTATGGCAAAGTCCGTCTTTGTGCAAGATAGAGCCCCAAGAACTTCGATGTTATAGCTTCATGTAGGTTGTATGTACTGTCCAAGCAAGTTTGATTCGGAGTTCTTTGGTCGCCGACGGATGCGGATCGATTGGGATGATGTCGTAAGAGACAGTCAAGTGTGTGTTGGTCGAATCCGACGAAGCCGTAGAGGAGGGTAGGTCTATAGAGATACCAGTCGATTCAAAAGAGTAACACGTGAAAAGGAGGATAGGTATTGTCCATTTGACTTTCAGTGGTGACGGGCGTTTATTAACTGGAGGCGGGAAACTGCCTGCGCACGGTAGGGAGAATCAGCGGACTGCGCGCTACGCCCGTCATCCCAACATGGAGTCTCCACTCACCTGGATACCTGAGAATATAATCATATATATAGCAAAGCAGCTAGTCGATGGGGAGAACGGGCCAAGAAAAGACCAAAGAACAAGCGACAGGCGCAACACCAGGGGGCAATCCTGGATTTGAGGGGGGGCCGTGAAGAGAGAGGCTCTTTCGGCGCTGGCCTTTGCCTCATCCAGCCCGGTCCGACCGCCCGATCTTATCTTATCGCATCTCCGCGTTTTCCTCGTCCACCGCTTTGAATCGCGCGTTTCCCCTCTTCTGGCGTCTTTCCCCTCCTACGTTCTCTGCTCGTTCTCTCGTCTATTCTTTGATCGATCATATAGCCCTATGCTGCTATAAACAGCTGTTGATCCTTACTCTCTAACTCGTGCTGCTTGTAGCAGCCCATTTCTTGCCAGACATGGCATACCAATTCTTCGCAAAGGCGCATCAATCCAAAGCGCCTACCTCTCCACCTTCGTCTGCCCCTCAGGCTTCAGTGTCGACGTTTTCTTCCTCCAAACCCGCGCAAGCTCGACCGCCGGTATACCCAGCAGCCCGTCTATCTTCGTCCTCTTCATCGAATCCATTCTCACTCAACTTGCCCTCCAGAGTGCAGCCCCCTTCTTCCAAAGACACGCCCTTCGAGCCGACCGCGTACCCCCAGCGCATAGCATCAGGCCACCCCACTCCGCACCCGCACGTCACGGTCGAAGTCGTGAGTACGGCTCACATACCCTCCCTGACTCGGATCACGGGGTTGCTGCTGCCCATTCGCTACCCGAACTCATTTTACACAGCCACGGTCACTGACCCCGTGATCGCGTCGCTGTCCCGCGTGGCCATTTACCATGACCACCCGGTGGCTGCAGCGCCCGCATCGACCGCACCTTCTTCGTCGACCAATCTCAAGGCACCAACAACTGGTACCGATAAAGTCATCGGGGGGATTCGCTGTCGGCTGGAGCGACTGCCTTCCACTGCCGCAAAATTTCTGCAGGCTCGTCACCACTCCCAGCAGCAAGAACCGACCAACCTCTACATCCAGACACTTCACCTTCTTTCTCCGTATCGAGGGTGTGGAGTTGCAGCCTCACTGCTCAACTCGCTACTATATACTTCCTCGCTTCCCTCTGCGTCCTCGAATCTAGAAGCTCCACCTCAAGTCTCCGACCTGGTGAGACATTACAACATTCGCACTGTCACGGCACACGTGCACGAAGCCAATGAAGACGGTCTGAAATGGTACCTTGCGCGTGGCTTCCAATTAGAGGACGGCGTTGTTGAAAATTACTACCGCCGCCTGAGACCCTCTGGGGCCAGAATCGTCAAACTCATCCTGCAGTGGAACGATGACGAGCACGTGCATGTGGAAACCCAGGTTCGGAACAGTCTACCTTCTATAAATCCGAAGCACAAGTCTGTCAATGAAGACGACGATGAAGACTGGGAGAAGGTCGAGGCAGAAGACGAACAGGAGGACCATGGAGTGCAGCCAATCTTGGATTCGGAATCCAAGCTTTCCGAAGCCGACGATGGCCTCAATAGAAAGCGCAAGGCTGAAGAGGATCACGCAAAACGTTAGTCTGCTATCGCCTCAGTTTTTTGTCATCGTGATATCAAAGTCCCGTCACGCGTTGCATCGTTTGGGCATGTTGTTTTGAATTACCATGGATACCCTGTTTGTTACCTGCATCATACACTTTATAGAACACACATCTTCTACCTGTGCTGTGCTTGTTCGAATTTCGCAATCATCTTTCATTCATATATTGGAGTACTTTACTACGAGCATTTATATTACCTGAACTGATTTGTTCTAGAAGAATAATTTGAAATAGACCCAAGGCTAAATACATTAGGCTCTCACGTTCATGTCAGGCCTGTCATTAGCATAAGTATTTCCCAATAGATCTCCGTCACTAATGTGAATATGTGTCTCGACCCACTGAGTATGCCGAGAAGATAGTGTATCCCTGGTAGCCGTGAGTCATAGGAAACATACTACCTTAGAGTAGCTACACACATCTCTACGAGTGATAGACATGGTGAATGTGATCCTCGGCTGTGGCAGACAGTTACTAATTCGTGTTGGTGTTCCACAACCCACTGGAACCCACAACGATTGACAGCCTATTATTTCTCTACGGTGGACTGCACGGTCCAGACCCACCATCGCCTATATAAAGGAGCGCGGCGTCCCGCCCCCCGCCCCGCCCACGAAACTCACGCCATGTTCAAAATATTTCATCACTCTCTGATCTCTTTCTACAACTCAACTCTTCCTACACCAATCTCTCATCATGAACACCAAGACATCGACTCTAGAAAGCTTCATACGCGCCTTGAACTTCTATTATGAACACTAACACTCACTTCGAAATTGACTTACCCCTCAAAGTGCATCCACTGCTACCCCTGGGCAGTAGACGATGAAGAGACGCGTCATACCAGTAACAACCAGCCAGTGTGTTTTAATGAGTGAATACACCTCGGGCCAGGGAGGTCACGGGTGATCCGTTCGAATTCCAGCCTCGGCAATCTCCTTTTCCCTACTTCCGCCGCCGCTTTTATCAGCACGCCTACTACTGGCTTTCTACTTGATCGACACCTGGCTGGTATGGGTAATCGGAAACCATGTTAACCCCAGAGGTTCATGTTAGAGAACCCCCTGAATTTCTTTTCCAGTGCCTGGCAGGCCTCCTTTTCTTCTCATGGTTGCATGAAATGGTGCGCCTGCCACGGTATATGTTAAAAAGGATAGCACTACACCAACAATCGCCGGTGTAGTGCAATGGTAGAACGCGCCGCCAGCTTGGGCGAGATCTGGTCGAATCCCAGCACTGGCACTTCTTTTTTCGCCCTGCCAAAATGTTCACCTACGGTCGATGTAGGCCACAATTTCGAGCGCGCCGCCCTCCGCTTGCCCGTATGGTGTAGCGGGTGGGTAGCACGCCCACCGCTACAGGCTGCCTGGGTTCGAGTCGCAGCGGTCGCATCTACTTTGTTTTTATCCTTTTCATACGTCTCTTTCTCCTTTACAGCTGCCCAAGCCAGGCTCTTGCTATCAAACCGCCGTGTCTGTCGAGCTCTATCAAGCTACGGAAAGAAGCGTTTCATCTGAAATAGCAGTCCCAACAGTTAGTCCAGGGGGTGGCTTCTACAAGTGTCAAGCATACTTCACTAACAATGGCCGCTGTGGTGCAATGGTAGGACGCGCCGCTACCTTCGGCGAGATCTGGTCGAGTCCCAGTAGCGGCGCTTTTTTGCCTTTTGTGTCCTTCGCAGCTTTCCAGAACAACCGTCTTTTATCAGACAACCACGCAGTTTTGAATCGCAGGAAGGAGCGCAGAATATAGCCAGGTCAGTGTCGCTTATTGCTAGCCCCTCAATAGACGGTAACCACGCAGCCGGGGCGAACATCGTGGCTTCTCTGCAGCTCGCGCCTGAAACGAGTCCGCGCTCGAGAGCAAGGGCTGTCTAGGCGTGGGACCGACTAAGGCTACCAGCCTCGGCAGCCGGCTCACAATCGCCGTGGTGGTGTAACTGGTAACACGCCTCTCGCCATGAGAGGAGATTTGGGTTCGAATCCCAGCCTCGGCAACCTTGTCTTTCTGCGTCTTTTCAGCTTCCTCTGCTCCATCAATCCGCGCGCGAAGCCCTCAGAGCTCAGAAATCACCATCGAAATCTCATGGCACCTATCCTTTCCCTTGCACTTGCGCCAACGCTCCTGCCTCGCAGTGACGATACTTACAATGTGGATATTGGGGAGGAAGGAGGAAACGGTGGAATACGCGTGGTAACTTTTTGGGGTCTACATAAGGCGCAATCAGGGTCCGAAACGCTCGGTCTCGTATTGAGTGAATGGCTTAGTCGCAATCGACACAATATCAGTATATTGTGTTTTTACCAGGGCCTGCTGCGCACGCTTTTTGCAGCCATTTGACTTACACCTGGGGAGCATGTTGTCAAGAGCTGGCCGTGTACTGCCAACGAGACCCGGGGTGGTGTAGCGGTCAGCACGGCAGTTGCGTTCGGGGTAAACCCATCCGCACCATTACAGGCCTGGGTTCGAATCCCAGCCCCGGGTATGTTCTTTTTTGCGGTTTCCTTTCTTCCGCTGTACTCGCCGCCTAAAAGGGTGTACTTGGATGCTGCGAAGAAGTATAGCATAGCGAGATCAAGAGTACCTAGGTATAGGATTTAGCACTATTGTGTTTTGGTAAACTCATAGGGATCGATCCACTCAATTAAGCTACTTCATGGCAATGACAAACTACATGTGTTCCAACAGCTTAAATCCACGAACAAGATATTCTAGGCTCGATAGAGTAAAGAAGCACCTTAAACTGCTTGGACGACAGATAGGCTATCGCAGCAGCTAGATCTCGATCTATGGAGACTAGTGCCGCTAACACGCTAAGCAGCTGGGCTACTAGAGCTCCCCCCTTTCACCGCCCAAAGATAACCCCACAATTCTGCCGCCGAAAAATGCAACGCAGTTTGAATCCACCGACAAACCAACCTACGAACCTTCACTCACACAGTCAGAGAGTTGTTCAAACCAGCGCATCATCTCTTCCCAATCCCTCTATACAATCTTGACAGCTACCAACACAGCATTGCACCAACAACGAAACGAGCCTCTCCACCATCCTCAAAACGCAATCATGGCCTCCTCAGCGCCGCCCCCAGCCCTGACCCTCCCCCCCTCGCAATTCGCCCGCCTCCAACCTCACGCCTACCTCCTCGCGCACCTCTCCCCGCCCGCGGCCAGCAACCAACCCTCCCTCCGCGCCAACGGCCGCCAGCCCGCGCAGTTCCGGCCCACCTCCGCCAACACGGGCTCCCTCACCCACACGAACGGCAGCGCCGTCGTCCGCGTCGGCGACACCACCGCCGTCTGCGGCGTGCGCGCCGAACTCCTCCCCACGAGCGACATCGCCTCGTGGAGCGTGTCGCACGCTTCGTCCGGTGCCAAACATCGCCAGAACACGACCAAGAATGACGCCGACGCCGACGCCGACGAATCCCAGATCCAAGACCTCAACCTCCTGGTGCCGAACCTCTCGCTGAGCACCGGCTGCGCGCCGGGGTTCGTGCCGGGCGCGCCGCCCTCGGCCCTCGCGCAGTCCCTCTCCCATCAGATTCTGGGGCTGTTGCACAGTACCCGGTTGGTGCGGGCGGAGGATCTGCGGGTTTGGTATCAGGTACCTTCGTTTGGAGGAGATGGGGATATGGATGTTGATGCAGATGATGAGGGACAGAAGAAGAAGAATGACGGGAAGGAGATCAAGGCGTTTTGGGTCCTGTATATCGATATCATGATCATCTCGCTGGCGGGGAATGCGTTTGACGCGGCGTGGGCGGCGGTCCTGGCGGCGTTGCGGGATACCCGGCTGCCGCGCGCGTGGTGGGATGCTGATAATGAGATGGTCGTGTGCTCCGAGACCGTGGCGGAGGCGACGAGGCTGTCTCTGCGGGGGTTGCCAATCGCCAGCTCGTTCTGTGTGTTTGAGGCGGATGCGGCGGCGGGGTGGAGGGCGGTGATTGTGCCGGATGCGGAGGAGGAGAAGAAGATTGAGGAGGATCAGCGGAGGGGTATGCAGCGGCGGTGGATCTTGGCGGATCCTGATGGGTATGAGGAGGGGTTGAGTCAGGAGCGCGTGTGTTTGGTGGTGGATCGGGAGATGGGGAAGACGGTGATTGTTAAGATGGAGAAGAATGGTGGGTGGGCGGTGGATGGGAGGGAGTTGAAGCAGTTGGTGGATATCGCTGCGGAGAGATGGGAGAGTCTGAAGCTGATCTTGGAGCAGTGTTGAAATTTCTCCTTCCTTTTATTCTTCTAACTTGCGTGAAAATAGCTAGTGTTACAGTAAATGATACCAGATTCGTTGTCATCTCTTTTCTTATTGCTTTCTTCTCGTTCCCTCGTGGTCAGTTATCTAATATTTTAGGGTAAGTCAACAAGCACCAGCAACCTAAAACGTAACGAGTGCGCAACTCCAACAATGCATCTGATTCAACGATTCTTTCAAGGACTGGTTGCGCCTGCATGGCGAGGACTTCGCCGACGACGCTTGGTTGGAGGCTCACTGTCACCCTCTGCGCCCACAACCGACCAATTCTCTTCGTCCGCCGCACTCGACTTACTGCTGAGCGCGGGACTCTTTGACTTGAGAGCTTTCTTCGCCTTGTTGGGATAGAAGAGGGAGACTGTGAACAATTCGAAGTCTTTGGCCTCCTCTTCTTTGTCACTGGATGTGTTGGAGTCTTTATCATCGTCATCAATAGCATCATCACCTTCCGCCTTCTTGTCCTTTTCTTCGGATGTCTCAGCACGGCCGCCGTCGGAGTTCTTGCAATAGGAGAGAATGCGAGAAAAGAAGCCCAGATTTTCCTGGCGTTCGGGATGCTCCTTCTTGTCCTCTGATTTCTCGTCGCTCTCCTCATCATCCTCGTCCTCCTCGCTGAACTCCCACATCTCACCGATCTCGTTTCTAACCAAGGCAGTGCCCCACAAAGAGATCAGGACCCCGGGGACAAGGTACAAGAGAGCGGGCTGAGGATGATCAAAGATCTGCATCACCACCAGCGTCGCGATCATCCCCACTAAGTATCCGACAACACTGGCCTTGAAGTACGTCTTGGGGAAAGACCGAGCATCGTGGTATGGGGGCTGCAATTCAGGCTCCTTCGGTGCCACGGACCGCGTCCAAAAGCGCTCTCCCCAGCCTCCAGTGGCGGATTGATATATGGGCTTGATGAATTCCACTCCGTTGCCCTCCGCCCGAGCCTTCTGCAAGCCCTTCCGCTTGTAGTAGAGGTAGAGGTCAAAGCGCAGGGCCAGCCCCACCATCATACCCGGGATGATAATGTCGCCCAAGCCCAACATAGCCAGCGACACGGTGTCCGGAGCTTCGCCAGAGACCGGAGGCCGCGGGAAAAGAAGCTTGATGGGCACATCGAGTTTCTTGGCGACTGTCACCATCAGCGGGGTGAAGTAGACGAAGTAGATGTCGTAGAAGAACAGGGATCCCAGGATGAGCGATCCGGTCACGAAGGTCGACGGAGACATGAACTGCAAGGTACCGTAACAGAAGCTGAAGCCCAAGAAGTTGGTCAGCCACCATGGCTTGGTGACGAAGGTGAAGTAGCCGATCGCGGGCAACGCCAGGAGGGTACTGAGGAGATCCAGCATATCCAGCCAGACTTCACCACGCACAAGTCGATGCACATGAACGCGAAGCTTGGCCCGCCAGTATAGCGTGCTGCGAAATTTCCAGATCGCAGTACGTACAACACCAGGGAGTGGAATTCGGCTGAAGACGCCGGGAAGGGGAGAACGCCGACTGTCTGCCGATTGAGGATTGTTTGGGTCGTCTTTGGCGGCGATGAAAGCCTTCTCGGAGGGTCTCTGTTTCCAGGTTCGGCCAGCAGAGCTGTATCTCCTTGGGAAGACGAAGGATCTGACGACAGAGAGAAAGTCTTTCAAGAACGCTATGGCGAAGAAGAGCCCCATCTGCGAGAAGTAGTAACCAAGGATCTTGTTCAGCGTCTCAGCCCCTTTGTATTTAATGAACAGATACAGTCCTCCGAGTGTGAGTCCGGCTGTGAGAGGGAACATCAAGGCGTCGCTTGGTGCCAGACCCTCCATCTTGTGGCCGTTGCTTTTGTTGTCCTCCTCCGATTCATCGTCATCCGATTCGTACTCGGAGTCTTGTGTTTTCTTGGGGGGCTTTGTGGCCGACGGCGGTTTCGCTAACGATGCATGCGCGCCGATATAGATAGGAAAGATCGCGGAGAGGAGGAGGTGACCGTAGGTTGGGAGAAGAGGCTTGATGAGGG